ATAAACAAAGGCGAAATATATGCACAAAACAAACAAAATTGGTCAAGGTCCAATATTTCTGTGAAAATCTGAACAATAACCTATGAAAACCTAGAAACTTTTGGAAAGTCATAAATAAATTAAAAACCCCTCCAATCCACTCCCAACCTTCCACTGTCAAAGTGGATAACCAAACCCTGCAACTTCCCTTAGATGTAGCAAATGCCTTTAACAATTATTTTGTCGGATGCTCTACTGCCCTGATTGCCAAGCTAATAAATGACATGCATCCTGAAACTACAAATGTGGATCAGGCACCACTAAATTTGCAAAGGCCCAACACAGACCAGTTCATTTTTAGACCTGTACCCATTAGTGTAGTTAAAAAACACCTAAATAATCTAAAAATGAAAAACCAGTCTGGACCTGATCAAATCCCAGCAATGCTGTTGAAGCTCAGTGCGCCGGTAATTGCTAAACCAGTCGCAACCCTAATTAATGAATCCTTGGTGTCTGGATACATACCCAAACTTTGGAAGAATGCGAGAGTAGTGCCTATCCATAAAAGTGGTGACACTACTTTGGTTTCTAACTATCGCCCAATATCATTGCTCCTGGTATAGTCAAAAATCTTAGAAAAATGTGTCCATACGCAACTATGTGAGGATTATCAACAATCAAACTATCTGACCCCTGATCAATCAGGCTTTCGCCAGAATCACTCCACTACAACTGCCCTCTTAAAAGTTTGCAATGACATCCAAACTGGCATGGGACAAGGAAACCTAACTGGAGCTATTTTCCTTGATTTTGCCAAGGCCTTTGACACAGTAGACCACAACATTCTACTGCACAAACTCAAAAACTCAGGAATTGGTGATTATTCGCTAACCTGGTTTCGATCGTATGTATCAGATCGCTCGCAATATGTGTCCATATCTGACAGCGACTCCCTCTCCCAGTCCTCCAGGGGAGATAATTTATTTCTAGGCTGCTACGCTTATTACCAGATCTGCCCGACGGCAATACTGGTCATTTAGATCCTCCGGCAAAGGCAGATCTGGTCATGTGGCAAGAGTTCCTCGAACACTGGAATGGGATTTCAATGTTCATTCCCCCGGTATCCGACCAATCCCTAGTTTTTTGGTTGGATGCAGTCGCTAACACTGGGTTCGCAGCAATCTACAAAAATCACTGGTTGAGAGATTGCTGGCCGAAAGAAACACTCAATCTACCTTCCTTTCGCGAGACATCTGCATTATTCGAAATTTACCCGACAGTAGCGGCTGCATTCACCTGGGGCAAATCCTGGTCGGGCATGGCAGTCAAATGTTATACAGACAACATGGCAGCCTGTGACATAATTGATAAGGGTTGGTCATCTACATTGACCATCATGAGGTTAGTTCACAGGCTGACCTGCTTGGCTGCCACATATCAGTTCTTCCTCTTCTACGAATACATATCAGGCTACTCCAACACTGCCGCTGACGCTTTGTCCTGTTGTAAATTTCAGAAATTCTTCGTTCTTCACCCAGCAGCCAACAAATACTTGACCCAAATTCCGGGTTCAACAATTTAATCCTGGACTAGCCCATCTATTGGCGCATGCCAGGTAATTGGCACAAGTAGCCTTATCCACAAACACAAAGAAAACATACAGTCCTTTTTTAGAGGTTCACTGTAGAATTCCACATACATGATCATTTGATCCAAACCATGGTTGCATTTGACGCATTTTACCACCTTCATCTCAAACGTTCATATAACACTATCAAACTCTATCAGATGTTCAACACCACATTTTGACAACTATGCTAAATCAAACTAATTTTCTTTCTGCTTACCCTGTGAAGAATATATTAAAAGGCATAAACAAATTAAATCATCACACTACAAAAAAATGTTTACCGATGGAGAGAAATTCTGGGCTCCATCAGACTTACTGGACACACTACCATTTGACCCCTGTACAAACCTGGTTATAAAAACCTCTTTCTATGGATTCCTTAGACCTAGAGAAGTCACAATAACAGCCCAGTCAGACAGTCATTTATGTCTCATCATGAAAGACTTAAAACAGGTGAACGATTACTATCTTTTGTCACTTAGGCATTCCAAAACCAAACAAGTGCCCCTCTACCCTACCGAAAATCACTGGTGCCCTGTTAAAGTTTTAGACACTTATCTAGTACAGGTTAGGGACAATCCCAGCCACTTTCCACTTTTTACACTGCTAGGCAGTCCCCTCACTACTTCCAAGTTCATGTTCTACATCAGAACTCTGTGAATTAGATTAGGTTGGGACCCTACCTCTTATTCTTGACATTCATTCAGAATAGGGGCCGCATCAGCTTCATCCAGTACACATCAAAAAAGTTGGGACGTTGGAAACCCGCAGTATAAAATAGATACATACCGCAACCAGAGAAAGAGTTAAGGCATGCGTTTAAAATTCTTGTATTGTAATCAAGTTTGCAATAAAGTGTGTTTTTTCTGCATATTTTTTGCCCTCTTTTTTACAGGCCTACCCCTACATTGTTTTCGGCACACAACACCGTCTTGCTCCAATCGCAAGGTATTTCACGGTCCCTATATGAACCAACCACAAGTTTAAGGCTGTAGGCCAGTATTTGTGGGAGGAGTTAGCATTCCTATAAAACGCTATGCCACCTTCTTACCTTCGCCATGGCGTTTCTGTTCACCCCACCCACCTCACCCTCTTTCTACCTAGACAATTCCTCCAGGGGCCCTCTTTTTTACAGGCCTACCCCTACGTCTGTTTTGGCACACCACACCGACTTGCTTTAATTGCAAGGTATTTCACGGTCCCTATATTAACCGACCACAAATATATATATATATATATATATATATATATTCAAAATGTTGAACCTTATCCACACATGCACAAAGAAAAGCTCACTAAACACATAAGAAAACGCAATGAAACACACAAGCTTGCTACATACAGCTCACTACAAACAAGCTCACTGATACACACACAAGATCACATAGCTTACTACAGACACACACACACACGTCACTACACACAAGACCACTGGTACATTTACAAACTAACTACATCATGATCACTACAAAAAGTGGAGTGACAATTAGAAATAAATACAAATTTAAAAAAATATAGGGCAGTGACAAATAATCCATGTTCATGTGAGTTTTATGCACAACCTGATGGCAAACTAAAAATGAGCTAACTGAATATGAAGAAAAAAAGTAGAGGGGGTTGAAGAAAAAACAAAATAAGGGAGAGAAAGGAAAGAGAGGAGGAGAGTGTGGAAAATAGTATTGAAATCTGAGATCTATAGGTTATATTATCTTTTATTAAAGGCTACAACAATGCCTTTCTTCACAATATGTGCTGACAACCCATGGTGTCCACACAGAACAATATACAGACCTTGGCTGTAACTGACCCCCTTTTGGTGTGGTGTGCATTTCCTGCATCCTGCTTTAGTTCACTGTTGTCTTACATCTAGCAGCACAATTAGAGCATAGTATTAGAAGCTCTCGAGCTGTGCACCAAGGATTTGGACCATGCAGGAAGTGTTTCAGCAGCGTTCCTTGCATGGTCCTGATAGCTGGGGGCAGGGTTGGGTGGCAGCCAACCCCTTTTTCTTAAAAATCCACCACCTTTTAAGACAAGACCACACTTTAGTGATGTAGCTTGCCTCACTGGTAGTGCCCCATCAGGATTCCGCCTACCCGTTCCAACTTGCACAGGCAGCCTGTTGGAATGTATATGTAAACTCACGTATCAGGCATGTGTAACCGCCACAGAGGCTGGGTTATATATGTTCCTTCGTGTTCCTGTAAGAGCCCTCCTAGCAAGTAAACTTTCCTTGCTAAACTGAACTTATTTGCATGTGTGTGGTGAGGCTGTCAAGTGTCCTAACAGTTTTTATTTTTTAATTTCCATGCAATGCCTGGCTGTCCAGATACAGCCAGAGCATACTATGCAAATTGGGCTAACAGCTTCAGTGCTATACAACATTTCTCAGTAGATGCCTGAGTATGCATGGCTAAACTGAACATGGAAGTGCGTTATTTTTATTAGCTTCTGTTGAACTATCTACCTCAGTAACTCTTCAGTAGCATTTAATGGAGGTAAGGGAAGTAGCAACTGTCACGTGACAATTCCACGTTAAGCCCATTCTGGAATGGAATGAAATGTGGCAAGCGCTTTACCAGTGTCTGACTTAAACGCTAGCTGAGATTTAAAAGTGCTACATGTATTAACAAATAACATGTAAACATAGCACTTGAAAAGGTCAGACCATTATTTGTAATGAGTACTTAGCTTGCATATTGATTTTTGAAAATGAGCAGGCAGTTGTTGATTTTCAAAAGAGAACAGTTTATATTGTGAAAGGGCAAATCAGTTCATTAACCTCCTATGACTGGTTTGCTATTCTAAATATTGACATTCACACTAATTGGCAGGAGAGGCTGCATATTGATAAACTCATATTTTCCTCTTCATTTTAATTTAGTTCACTCTAGAGTACAGTGTTTTTGACGTGTTTTATTTATACACAAGAATGATGAATTTACTTTCAATAGAATTTTCCCCAAAACATGAAAGCATACTATAAAAGGAAATGTTTGTCTCTTGTTTATCATTCACTGCTCACTGTGCTCATTCTGTCAATATCTGTTTTTACCAAGTCCATTCTAATGCACCCAATACTGCTATACTAATTTTATGTTAGATTTCAACCAGTTTATATCATTTCTATTTGCTAGTCACCTTGATATGTTTGAATATATTAATATAATATGAACCCTGGCACTGAATTATTGGACATCATAAAATCATTAAACTATTTAATATGCTTAATCATGTAACAACAACAACAACCCCGACAGGGATGACCCTAGATCACAAAGATTCCCAGGCTCGTGGCTTACGAGCATCCGATCTCACACAGCTCTGGGGCAGGAGAGGATCCCCGCTTTCAAGATGCTGCGGCTCTACCCAGTTGAGACAGAATCCCGGCATGAGTCCCAAGCCTGTAAAGCAATCAACAACCGGCGGCCGCCGGGGCCGCAGCAGCAAGGCTATAATCTCGGTGCAAGCTAGAGGAAGGAGTTCCACTACGTGCCGCATCTGCACAGACAAACACCCACAGAAGAGCCCCAGTCATGCAACGTTACATCTGACCGTGCCAGACTCGACTGAGGACTGGTACCTGTCACAGATCAGCAGGAGGGTGAAAGGAGACACCATGCCGAGCCATAGAATGGACTACCTATTAAAGCACATCAGTGGCATCGGGTGAAGGTTTGAAGCTCCCCCCCATTCCGGCCACCAATCTGGTCACAGTGCAGGACGTAATACGCACTCACATAGCTATATTTAGCTAAATGCCCAGAGATACAACCGTTCCTTTTCATTTAAATTATTTTATTCATTTAACTTGTTTTATTAGTTTATGTGCGTTTAGACTTGTTCCAGGACCTTGAGCATATCATGCCATTAACCGTCGCTGCCTTGCTTAGCCTGATCCTATGGGTTTTTACCATGCAAGTATTTAGCATTGCCTAAACCAAAAGTCAGCCTAATATGTTACTCACGCTTATCTTGTACCCAGACTGACCTCAACTACATAGCTAAATTGTGCAACATGGCCTACAGTGACAACGAACAACCCTTAACTTCTCTACTGTCCATGCACTATAGACCCAGGGGTACTTGACACGTATTAAATGTACGAGATCCCAACTCATAAAGTTGTACTCTATATAGACAAGCTACATGCTTCCCTTCACTACTGGCACTAGAGAGCCTTTGTAACTTATAAGGCAAACTACTGGTTAACCGCCTGCCTATATACCTGGACATGAATTTAGCCTGATGGAACAACATAGCTGTACTTCCCTTTGAAACATAAGCATGCACATTCTACCTGTTTAATGCATAAGGGCATTCCACATGATGTCACGTTATAATCTCTAGGCGGACTCCCGACGCACCACTCTCTCTTCCCTATACAGCATGATTATTTACCTGCATGGCCAGCGAAGTCCCTACTGGTTTTCTCCGGACAAGACATGACAGATATGACGAACCTCACTAAACCATGTGTTAATATAAGCCTGATGTTTACCCTGTACCTTTTATGATATAAAATTGTGCACTGCCTAGCTACTAACCTAATTGTTATCTATGCTACGAAGCTCGACGACTGCCGTTGGGGTACCTCAAGCCTGCTTGTATTCAATATATGCACTGCAAAAAAAAAACAACAACAACAACGGGTTAGTAGATAATAAAGATAAAAATAAATCAATTTAAATTGGGCAGCATCACTATAGTATGGAGTGACTGATGATATATATATATATATAGATAGATATAGATCAATTAATAGTGAGCGCACTGGAATAATTTGTTATTTAACCCCTTAAAGACTAAACCAAATGTACATGTTGTGATCAAAACAAAGTGTAAACAAAACATGGCATTTGCGCTATATGTCTGTCCAACCGTAATTCACCTCTTTCATATTAAATGCACCCACAATTATTATATATAATTTTATTCAGGGGAAACAGGGCTTTCATTTAACATCAAATATTTAGCTATGAAACATAGTTTTTTACATTTTTTTAGTTCTACGTGACATTTTAACTGTGAATGTCATAATACTGTTTGCTTTTACTGCAATAAAAATACACCCTTTTTGTATTCAGCGATGTCTCACGTATAAAACAGTACCCCCTATGTACAGGTTTTATGGTGTTTTGTGAAGTTACAGGGTCAAATGTAGCATATTTCATTTTTCAGTTTTTTTCACATTGAAATTCGCCAGATTGGTTATGTTGCCTTTTAGACCGTATGGTAGCCCAGGAATGAGAATTACCCCCATGGTGGCATACCATTTGCAATAGTAGACAACCCAATGTATCGCAAATGGGGTATGTCCAGTCTTTTTTAGTAGCCACTTGGTCACAAACACTAGCCAAAGTTCGGCCTGGGTTGTCAGGCAGGTCCCGCAAATTGTAATTAATAAAATGACCTAATTATGTAAAAATATTACATAACTATATATGTAGAATAAATATATATATATATATATATATATATATATAAAGAGATAAACCTTGGCACTCACCCTATATTGAAGATGAAATGTATAAAGCCTGGGTGCAAACCTTGGCGTTTGGATATATACAAAAATGAGCAGAGGTGCACTCACAGGTCTTCAAATGTGCTTCTGTTTATTTTACATGCAAATATACATGTGTACAAAAATCCAACAAATCGACGTTTCGACCCCTAAAGGGTCTTTTTCATCTCATCCATAGGTGTTATGTATGTACATTTCTATGAAGATCACCTTTCAGTGATCAGATCTATTCACCCTTATTACACTGCACGACCTGCTTTACACGTTAGCAGCCTTGTTTACTATTGTTGCTTAGCAACGTCGTAATCACGTGCGTCATCACGCCGGTCACGTGGTGCACACAGTTTCACTTCCGGGTTCGGACGGACAGGGAATCTTTCACCCACATCTTTTTGGTAACTGTCCTTTTGATGTTTATCCCTATATATAGTCACTTATTTGCACATTGTATTGATCTTGAAAAAGACCCTTTAGGGGTCGAAACGTCGATTTGTTGGATTTTTGTACACATGTATATTTGCATGTAAAATAAACAGAAGCACATTTGAAGACCTGTGAGTGCACCTCTGCTCATTTTTGTATATATATATATATACATATATATATATATATATATATATATATATATATATATATAAATTTTTAAAATAATTTTTATTTATATATAAATATCTATATAGTGATATATACGTATATACTTTTGTATATAGATATATATATATATAATTTCGTTCTACGTGTATTTTGACGTTCTATGACGTCTGCCGTCGTTTAGGACCGGGTCCCCAAGGATGGCATAGAATGCCCACCATCCTTAAGGGGTTAATAACAATTCAAAAAGAACAATAATATAAAAAATATCCAACCCTAAACGTAATTCCCAGGATATGGAACACTGAAACAGATATTCCTGCTGAAACACCTCTGGACAACAGATTCACTGTAAACACACTATAGTGACAAAAGTGACTCAGTAAATGCACAGGTAGAATAAGTGCAATAATAATAAAAGAGACAGATATAATACAAAATAAATATGTCTTGCAGCAGGGTACAAACAAAGTGTACTCACAACACCCTCCATGGGGGCCCCCTGTGACAGATCCCTCTATCCCTGGATTAAATTACTGTTAATTTCTGCTTATTTGTTACACTGGGTAGTTCGGTTTATGAAATTCACCGAACATCTAAGACCCATCTGGTTCGTATACTGAACAACCTACAGAACAGCCAGACCACACAGGGGAGGTATGTGCTTCTCATTGACCCTTTTCACCCTTGTGTTACCTTCAGTAACCGCAATTACCTCAACATTCTGAGCAGTCAGCTGGGTGGCCGTCGTTCGTATGGACAAACACGTGGCGGCGGCCATCTTTAGTCGTGAACGCATACGGTGGTGTTTGGTCGTCGAGTGCATGGAACTCAAATCGGACACTCGACAACGTGAACACCACTAGAACTTCAACTTTCATCAAAGTTTGGTAAAATGGGTGACAATTGAATGGAGTTCAGTGGGTGCATGCTCCCGAATGGGGGACATAGACTGAACATAGCCACTAACCATTACGTTTGGTACTTTTGTTGTATTTTGTACTCCCGACAGAGACCGGCCGCACAGCCTGATTTCATGGAACTCTTTAGAGCAGGAGCCTCGTGTGTGGTCGGTCAAACTATGACTTCCATGGAAATCCTAAACCCCTGAACCGATCTGGCTGATTTTTGGATATGTTGGTCCCCCAGATCAAGGCTATCAGGGGATGTGACTTTTGTGGGGTTTTCATGTGTTTCGGGGGTACTTTCAAGACATTGTAAAATGTATGTTTTCTGTGCCTGGAGATAATTGAGTTTAGTACAGTGCCTGACTCAATTATCTCTCAGGCAATGGGGGGGGGGGGTCGGGATTACCACTTTTTTCTAGGTTTGTCCTGGACCTGAGAGCCAATGTAAGTACAGTGTGTATTTTGTCATAGTCCCCTCTCATGTCAAGTGGGGAATGCCACTGGAATATGTCATGAAAAACCCTTTGCATGGGGACTTGCATATAAGGCCAGTATTGGCTACCAATAAATCAGTTCCTGCTTACCCTCAACATAGAGTCTCATCTCATGTTTGTAGGGAACAACTATACCAGCAATACCGTGATTTGGATTATTGTGTTTGAGATTATTGTAGCAACACTCTGAATAAGGGGAAAGAACACCTCTGGCAGCGAAACCCCTCTTCTTCTCGGGGTGACCACCACACCCCCCACAAGGTAAACTCCAGGGTGATGCACGATTCTGTCACTACGGTCCAAAGATCCTTGGAGAACAACACACTGGGAGAACAAGAGGTAAAGTTAAAATAGGAGGGCAGAGAACTCAACCCTTAGTTCCCGAGTGCGAACTGCCAGGGGCTCTACCACCGCTACACCTCCTATATGGGAGAGAGGCTGATGGCACTGCACGCCAATCTGCACACCAATTAACTCACCACACTTACGTAACTGTGGACGGTAATTTCAAAAAGGGCAGTGGTAAAATTGAAGGGATAGTTCCTGCTAAATAATACTTAACTTAGCATCTACTCATTTCATCCCATAAAGCAACTTTCTCAAGACATAAGCCCATCCACAACAGTGCTGGTTTAAATACCTATCCAACAATCCTGAGGAATAGCTATAAAATCCGGAATGGATTCTGTGTGATTTAAAATAATATGTGTACAACAAATAAATGAATACATTAACTAGAAATGATACACTTTATTTCCCACTAGTTAGATCTACAAGTGTAGATAACCCCATAGATCTTAATAGATCATATATCATGAAATCTTAACAAAGAATATTTATAAAAAGAAGTGTATTCTACATATTATCCAGGTACTATAACCATACTGAGAAATGGGGAATTGAACCAAGTGTTACATAAAACAACAAAATAATTTAAAAATTAATAAAATAATACTACTCAGCGTGGTGGTCTATACTATATGTGGGGCAAATTACCCCATACATTTTTAGATCAAGTACCATAAAATCTTATCAGTGTTTACATATATAAGTAAATACAAACTAAAAACAAAAGAAAGAATAATGAATAAAACATAAAAATCAGTTAAACATAGTACCAATCTGCAGGGTGGCCTACTTAATCATGTAACACATG